TAACATTTCCTTGGTTAATCATGTAATTACAATGATGGCATCAGATAGAAGTTTATCAATTCTGATCACTAAGTTCTTCAGTTTGTGGTTTAGCTTTCAATATTATTATATGGTGGAACCCTATTTTTTAAAAAAAAGTTTTGTAAAGATGGACTTTGAACCTCATTTTTACATACATGGACAAAGTAGGGCCACTGCCCAGAATTTCTGTTTCATATTAAAATAGAAATTAGAGACTTCCTAGCTATAGATGGGGCTCCTCGGGCTTTATGTCAGCATCACACATAGAAAATGAACATAACAATATGACACGCTGGGGTAAAGCTGAGGGGTTTTGGAGGCATTTTATGTGAGCCTTGGTGAAAATAATCATTATGTTTTCTTTGTAATGTATGATTATAATAAAACTACCAAGTGAAAGAAAATATAATAAATATTAAATTTTATAAAACTTCCAAATAAAATGTTTTTTTGTTTTTTTGTTTTTTAATTTTAAGTGAGGAACATGAGTGTGCTTTAAGGAATAAATTTTTAAAAAATCAGATTTTATGCTTGACATGGAAATTCCACGTCGAGTCCCTTTAATAGGACATCTTCATTTTCTTGGTGCTTATCATCAAGGAGAAACTCCACAAGTAGATGACAGCAAATGAGGGAAGAATATTTACTGCTTTGTTCCTGTTGACTTCTTTCTTACCATTCCCCACATTTTTATAATCTCATCACTTTACCCATAGTTAATGAAGCAGATCATTCTTTAGAACTAGGAACCTCTTTTATTTCATTAACTTATGTAAGGTTAGGATTTATTGTGATAAAACAAGTTAAATTTTAATTTATTCAAACTATTGTTTTTTTCTATACTAAACTTCCTAAAATAATGGTAAAGCTTTTCTTCAAACATACATAGATGTTCTTCTGAGCCTGTAATTCTTCTTTAGAATTCACATGATAATTCCCATGAAACATCACTGGTGAACTGTGTTTAACTTTACTTTTTTGGGAAATGTTAATACATTTTTTTCCCCACATAGATCCCACAATTTTGGATTAAATTCAGTCAGATGCTCTGGAGTGTAAGTAAAAGCAAGCCAATGACTATCAATAACTTGCAAAAAGAGGGTCATTAAAAGTTTTTTCAATTTCTATTTAAAGACAATGTACTTTGGTATTAAACAATCATAATCTATTTTGTCAAGTAAAGTAAAAAACAGGACTGTAACAGTAGGGCTGTATTAGACTCACCTTTTGGTAGTACTACTGTTATCAGTGGAAGTGGAATTCTTGGGGTGCCGTGACGGAAAGAATTTCCTGAGGCCCCCACAGAAGAATGGGATTTTGTGGAAAGCTTTATTGATTATGTAAGATTAAAGGGACTTCCAAGGTCCCATCTCTGTCCATCTCATCATGGACAAAGTCCAAACTTGTGTTCAGTAGGGCCAGAATTAAGGTCATTGCCCAGAATTTCTGTTCCATATTAGAATACAGTCCAGTCCAGTCCAGCATCCTGTGTGTGGAGTCAGCATGGCCATGGGCCATGTGGCTAATAAGGCTTCATGGCTATGGAGAGAGAATTGGTGCATACAGGGGTGACTATGGATCATAGAGCAAGAAAGAGCAAGAGCAAACAAGAGGAACAAGAGCATGAAAACTCATTTGGGGATTTTAACCAGAAAATTTCTTCAAACTAACCAACTAACTCAAAATTTTGCATACTTGTAATGGGGTTTAGCCTCTAGCCAACCCATTGTTCCCTAGGCTAACAGACAGGCAAGCACCTTCCCTGTGTCACCCAACTTCACCCATCTCCCCCTTTGTTCAATCCTCCCCCCACAGTGGTCTGCAGGGAATAGACCCATAGTTCCTTAAGGTGCGTGAAGCTGCCCAGATGACCATGCTTATAATGTCTGGCCTCTCCTTTGCTCTCTTTCCTTTATTAATATTAACTAGCTAATTTTAAGGAAACATTATTTTATGTAGAATTTAGGCCTACAGATGAACTTTTTGTTTTTGTTAAATTCTTTGTGAGTAAACTCAGATATTCACTAAATCTCAACATTTCCACCTAGCATTTGTGCTATCAGTACTAACTTATGCAGTGTTTCCATCATAACTTAATTGCTTCAAAGTGTTAATTTACTATTTTGTCAACTAGCTTGTTTTGCTATAATACTTTACAGAATAGATAAGGTTTTAAACATTTCTCCTTATGCTAGTTCCTAACAAAGGTAGACTAATCAGAGATGATACATTTATGATTAACTGTCCTCTAGATTAGAATTATCTTCTTGTTGTTGACAAAACCCCTATCTGCTTACTAATATTATTCAAAAATGGCACCTTTTTTTGGAAATGTTGAGAGTGTCCATGGAGGCTGGTAAAATGAGCAACTGCAATCGTGTGACTTATGGGGCCTTTGCTTTATTAGCAGGACCTCAGAAGCTACTTCTACGAGGTTTATGAGCTATACCTGACCTTGTTGTATAACTTATAAGAGAACTTTGATTCATATTTTATACTTGCAGTTGTTTGAAATGTTCATTAATCCTGTGCATAAAATGGATGTTTAGTAAAAAGATATCAGCATAATTTACCGGATCATATTTTGAAGTAAATAAAACATTTAGGCTGGAGAAAAGAAAGAATTATGAGTACACTTGGTTCCAAATGTGAGATAACTCTCATACTGTTTCAATGGTGACTTAAAGTTTAAGAAAAATATTTTTTGGAGGGGAAAAAAATCTTATGAATTTTTGAAGCCTACAGTTTTAATAAAATGTTTCTATTATGGTGGGAAAATATCTGTAAAATTTAAGATTACATAAATGTGAAGAATAAAGAACTAATGTGGTTGTAGAAAGGGGTTTCTGGTTAGAAAATTGTTTAAAAAATAATTTGGGTCATTTGAAATATTTAGGATGTTACAAAAATAAATTTAAAAATTAAGTATAGTGAAGAATAATTTTGAAAATAATGCAGTCAAAATTTGAAAGTATTAAAATACACATTTTGTTACTAAAATAAACTTTTAAAAAGTCAAACTATATGTATTAATTTCACTTATGTAGAATTAAATAATTTTGAGGAATCTAATGAACTGGTTAAGTTATATTTTTCTGTTTTTATAAATAACTATTTTTTAAGTTCTAGAAACAAATTTTTATAATATTTTATCAAGAGGTTGACTTTGGCTAATTATAACATTAAAGACTAAACTGAAATGATGAGTGGATGAATAAATAAATCAAGGCACATACATTTTTAAAAAGTGAATGAAATTAGTTATGTTCTATTTTCAATACCTAACCTCATGTGATATAATAAGAGTTGTGAAGAAAACTATTTATATATACTTTATTAGTTGAAAACTTTATTTAAGATATAAGAGAATAGTGCAAGTTAATATGAAAGAAAATTTAAATCTTATGCATACTATATAACTCATTATTTTAGGAAGTGTTACATTTATAGATATTTTTATTCCAAGTCCTCTTTACTCTATGCATTCTATATTCAAAATATTATGAGATAAAATAAATAATCAATACATTTAGGTACTTTTCTGAGGCAGCCATCCAAATACCATTCAAATATAAATTGAACTTGTGAACTTTGGAGTCGATGGGAAATAGTGGCTTTATTTTCTTTTTCTAAATATATATGATTTTTAGCCACCAGTCTCTCAAATATATAATTGATTTTTTATAGAGAGGAAGAAAGAGGGATAGAGAGTTAGAAACAACGATGAGAGAGAAACATCAATTAGTTGCCTCTTGTACACCCCCCACTGGGGATGTGCCCGCACCAAGGCACATGCCCTTGACCGGAATGGAACCTAGGATCTTTCAGTCCGCAGGCCGATGTTCTACCCACTTAGCCAAACCGGTTTCGGCTCATATTTATATTTAAGCATCAAAATGAACTAGGAATTGGGGGCCTTCATGTTGTTCCTGCATGTCCCACCAACAAGTCTAATAAATTTGCTCTTTGGAGTGAATGGAATGTCAGAGTCAGATGGGAACATGGAAGTGAACTAGTCTGAACCACTCTTTAAACATGAGAGGGAAGAATAATCATCACATTAACATTTATGCTTTGATCAGGTCCCAGTGCTAACCACTTGTTTAATTAAACCTTGTCTTGATCAAAGTGTTTCCTCATAAAAGTATTTGATGAGCCTGTATACTGGTATAAAATATAAGCCGAATGACATTCATGCCTGTTTTTCACCCTTTTAAATGACCAAGTGAAGTACACTGAGTGCACTTTAAATGAAGGATACCATTTAGGAGGAGAAAGAAGTGCTACTCCTGGAATGTAGATAAAGGGTGAATTACCAAGTGTGTGTTTAATTTTGGAGGTGGAATTTCTTATATATTTCATATTTTCCAGTGTTGAATAAAAGGGACTGATAATCTTGGCGGGTTGGGGTGGGGGGAAATCATTGATTCTGTGACTATTTTCTGCATTTGGCTAAGGCCGTGGTCGGCAAACTGCGGCTTGCGAGCCACATGCGACTCTTTGGCCCCTTGAGTGTGCTCTTCCACAAAATACCACGGCCTGGGCGAGTCTATTTGTTAGAAGTGGCGTTAGAAGAAATTTAAGTTTAGAAAATTTGGCTCTCAAAAGAAATTTCAATCCTTGTACTGTTGATATTTGGCTCTGTTGACTAATGAGTTTGCCAACCATTGAGCTAAGCTTACCATTTCGACCTTGTTTGAATCTACCTATGAAATAGCACCTTCACATTTGAGCCAGGGAGCCAGTGCTGAATGAAACATGAAGCAAATACCAGCTGTTTATTTTTCCAATCATTTGCTGTTTCCTCCAGGGCATAGAGCTAGACTTCATTTCCCAGACTCATTTGAAGTTTGGTTCCTCTATGGTGGAATTATGGCCAGTGGAGTGTGGGTTGAAATAACATGTGCCCAACTGCAGGTCTGACTCAGAGACATCCTCCCACATATTACTTTCCATTCTTTCTCTTTTCCTGTTTGCAGCTGCAGGAAAACACTCCAGGATCCAGAGAAGGCAGAGCCATGAGATGGCAGAAACCTAAAAAAGGTCATCAAGAAAGCCAACCACGTAAGAATAGCCACACTAGATTTAAATGTGTGTCAGAAATAAGCTTATGTTGTGTTAAGCCACTGAATTCCTGGGATTGTTTGTTACAGCAGTGAGCCTGCCCTAATACATGAAACAATTATGGGCTACTATCAACAGGATCCAGATGCATGTAATGAAGTTTATTTTCAGAGAATGAAAAAAATACAGCATCTTCTAAAGTTAATACAAGCAACTATACCAGTGTCAGACACACTAAAATATCAATAAATATTTGCTGAATGTAAGTTGGATAATGAAAGATTAAATTCAATATGGCTATTAATTGGCTGCAGGTGCTCCTATGACATCAGTAATGTGATCAAAATGAAAACGTAGCACTTACCAGTGGTGCCATAGAGATATGTGTTGTTTCTTGTGAAAAAAAGAAACTAGAAAACAAGTGGGTTGGGACATTTCCAGGCCAGCCTGAATTTAATATATTTATGTGAGTGACACTAAGATTTTATGTCACAGCCAATCATCTGGGTGGCAACTAATATTGTTGGTAGAGACATTTGATGAGTATATCATTTTCTCTGATTAAAATGTGTACAGGAAAGTGTTAGCTCATCAGATCTTGTTGCTCAAACCCTGCATATCCAAATAAAACCTGCCACCAGTGCTGACTGCCTCCAGGGAGATAAACTCTAAGCCGTTGGAATGATTTGCCAGATAAGAGTGTTTCTGCATGCTGAGGGCTTGGGCCAGGCTGTACAATTATTATCCTAACACTGTGATTTATGGTTTTTGCTCTGGGTCGGGGGCTGGAGACTGAGTAGCTGAGGTCAGTCACATGAACCCCACATGCCTACATGACTAACCTCCCACCTCCCCCCCCCCCCAAAAAAAAAAATCCCCTGGATATCAAAGCTTGAGGAGCTTATCTGACTGGCAGCACTTTGTATGCATTGCACTTGGCTGCTGAGAGAATTCAGCATATCCCTGAGCTTCCTGGACCTGACCCAGGTGCCTTCTCCTTTTGCTGATTCTATTCCATATCCTTTTACTGAAATAAGCAATACTTACCTATAGCAGCTTTTGAGCCCTGTGAATCCTAATGAATTGTCAAGCCTGAAGGTGGTCTTAGAGACCCTCTCCCTCCATTCAGATGCTTTGATCAGTTGTATGGTATGTGAAAAACAACAAATACAGAGATTAGGAAAGGGAGAATCTGGGAAGGTGTTTTGGGGGTGAAGTGCAAAGGGTTCTTTGAGAAAGTTGAATCTTTCCACTTTATCAGGATTGTGTGGTTAGAGCCAGAACTGACATACTGACATGGCTGGGGGAAGAAAGCATTGCTTCTTCTGATACCAAAGGGAAGGGGAAGTAAACAAAGAGTATATATATATATATATATATATATATATATATATATATATATATATATATGGCAACTTTGCAGATTTGGGGCTCTAACTTTGCTCAGGGCAGCTTACCCATCAGCCTTGCTCGGTTGGTGCCTCTGGGCAGCAGGAAAGGTAGACCTGCATGGAAGCAAGTAGAGAGGTGGCCTTTGTTAACCTTGCTGGCTGTCCCCCCTCTAAGACCAGGAGAATCTCTTTAGGTATCCCATTTGATCAACTCTTGCAGTCAACATTTAGAATCTCTTAGTTGATTAAGATAAGTTTTGGGCCTGGAATTTCAAGGTTCATATCCTGAGGCTGCTACTTGCCTGAGGTGACTTTGGGCAGGTAACTTCTGCCTGCCTCAGTTTCCTCATCTGTATCTGGACTGCATCTGGAACTTTGTACGTGCTCGATACATGCGAGCTTCTGGTGTTGCTTCTATTCTGGGTCCATCGATAAACAGCAGAAGAGCTATCCTAACTCTGTTGTTGGGAAGAAGAGTTATGTTGCCAAAAATAGCTTTATTGAGCTAAAACAAAGAAAAAGGATGGAACTGGGTCAGCATTTTTATAAGTGGACAACAGAAACTGACTTAAATACCATTTCTTGCCTTTCTGTTCAAGGAAGAGGATTGCTTTATAGCTAATAGATTGTGGTGTGTCCCCTGGAGGTTTTTCCTCTCCTCCTTCCTCCTCCCCCTACACTCCTCTCCTGCCAGGGCTGGGATGAGCTGGCTAGGATGAATTTCTTGCTTCACTGGACAAAGCAAGCATGAGGCTATTATCTCCCATGAGGCCAAGAGGGCAAATCTGACAAAATAGAAACTTTAATCATGGGCAAACTAGTTTTAAAATAGTTTCTTCCTTTGACATATTCAGGATAATCCCCAAATGATAAAATTTATTGTCACACAGATTTGAAAGGCTATGGGCAGGTTATGTTTCCCAGAAACTTAATGTCTTCAGTGCGCTGAGGGGCCTTATATGACACAATGATGTTGCCCCTCCACAGCGCAGTAAAAAAAAAAAAAAAAAAAAAAAAAAAAAAAGCATAATGAGGCATTTAATTTTTCTGGGATAATGGGCTCTATTTCTAACCTCAACCATTTTAGCAAGATTGATATGTTTTTAAAAAATGAATAAGAATTCCTAGCAAAATTTCTTAGTCTTTAACAAAAATTCAAATTATATTTAACAAAAAACAAAAGCTAAAAAATAACACCCAATGTTGGATGATAAAGGTAAACAGCATACCTTTTGTTTGTGGGTATAAATGACATCACAATGCTCATAGCCTTTGACCCAGGAATTCTGAGACTGGTCCAAGGGCCGAGTCCAACCCTTGGCTTGTTTTTGTATGGCCCTCAAGGTAAGGAAGGTCTGTACAGTTTTAAAGGGTTTGTTACAAGAGGAAAAGGAAGGGGAGGAGGAGGTGAGGAGGGCAGAGGAAGCGCACAGGAAGGAGGGGGCAGAACGAAAGGAAGAGACACACTGCTTTCTCTACAAAGCCTAAACTTTAACTAGCTGACCCTTTCCACAAGTTTGCCTACTCCTGATCTTATCTAAGAATAATCCAAAACATGAAAAGTCTACATGAATAAGGACAATCTTCACAGCAGTTTTCTAGTAGTTCAAAAGATTAGGAACAATCTAAGTGCCCAGGATAGAAGAGTAGATAGGTAACTATTCAGTAACTCATAGAAAAGAATATTTTGCCACCAGCCAAGGGATGGCTAGTGAGGGTCATGGGTCTATGACCATGAGTTTTGCCCACCTTAGGGACATTTTACTGACTACCATGGCTCACAAACATTTCTTTACTTTTTAGTGTTCAATGCAGCTGCTGGATAAGGTGCACATTAAAAAATTTGGTGATATTCTGCCTTGAACATGAAGATACAGTAAGGCACATTACATATATCTCCCTACATGGGACTTTTGTCATCCTATGTAATAAAAGGCTAATATGCAAATAGACCGAATGGCGGAACAACCCGTGAAGTGCACTGACCACCAGGGGGCAGATGCTCAACGCAGGAGCTGCCACCTGGAGGACAGTGCACTCCCACAGGGGGAGCACCACTCAGCCAGAAGCCGAGCTCACAGCTAAGCTGGTGAGCACAGCAGCACTGGCAAGAGCATCTCCCACCTCCATGGCTATGCTAAGGATGTCTGACTGCCCATTGGGAGCGGGCCTGCCATCATTCAGACATCCCCCAAGAGCTCCTGGACTGTGAAAGGATGCAGGTTAGGCTGAGGAACCCCCTCGAGTGCATGAATTTTGTGCACCAGGTCTCTAGTAAATTCTATAAAAGTCAGGCTTCAGAACCATGACCAGAAATATAAACTGGGTCACATTTTTGTTTTATTTGAAGAACATCAGATATAGTTTACATTGTTTGCCCTTTTCAGAGAAAGATACAAGGTCTATTGGTTCAGTCTTTCCAGTAAACAATTTGAGAAAAATCTAACCCAGACTTTGTGCAGTGATTTCTCAGTGACTGAGCAAAGCACAGTGAGCACAGATCAGATCTCTTCCCTGTGACTATAAACCCTGTCGTCATCTCATATGATAATATCTAAGCTCCTTGGTGTCTCGTCATGGTCTCTCCAGCCTCACTGATCACAGAACCCTTCATTCGACTGTGCCACCAACACATGACCCACTCTTGCTTTCTTCTGCATGTTCAGAACTTACAACTTATATGTCACCTTCTCAGAGAGCCCTTTGATGATAGTTCCAGAGAGGCAAAATGTCAAGTTCATTCCCATAATCCTGTTTTATTTCCTTTATAACACATTATTTTAAATTATCCCATTGGTTTGTTTGGTTAACCTCTTTATTCACCTATATGTGCATGTCTTTATGTATTTATCTTCCCCTTTTTCTTCCTCACTAGGATGAATGATTTTTGAGGGCAGGAACCCAAATCTCCCTTTTTCATCATGTGGCAGAAAAAAACCTTCTCTTCTTCAAGACCCAAAGGTCACCTTCCCAGACCTCCTCAGGTAGAGGAGCACATCTCCTTCTCTGTTCCGACAACACAGCTTTTATGTAGCTTCTATAGTTAAGACATGTATCAAATCCCCCACTAGCCTGAGAAGATCCTGGGGAGGCAAAAACTGGTCTCTCTGAATCCACAGCTCATAGTCTGGCTTTTAGTAAGGGCAGATTTTTGTTGCCTGAATGAACAAATGAATAACTCTAAAGTAGTTTCTCAGTGAACACTCCTTATGTTGAGTTGACTCAAGTCTGTAATTTCTCAATTCCTTTTCCTTAAAGAGAAAGAAAGAAACAAATGAAAAAAACCACATTGCTATATCTATTACCTGAAAATTATGCTATATTTATTAACTTAATATTAATTTTATTCAATTTTAAAAATATGTGAGTTTATGGAGATGAGAAGTTTGACTCATATTTGGTTTAGCCTTTTTCTTTCTTATTTTTCTATCTTAACTTGATACACAAACAAAAACTCTAGAAACTGTAAATGCATAGTACTTCTGGCTATTATTTTGCTGTTATTCATCCCTTTCCCTCATTAAAGTTATTTATAGTGCCATGGAAAATGGAGTTCTTGAAATAGCTTCAAAAAGTTCATTTCATGTTTCCGTTGGATGAATTTGTATTCAGGCAAGACACCTCACATACTAAGAAATAGAAGTTAATCAGAGTCAGCTGCATGATGGTTGTCAGAAGATAATGTTAAGGAAGACGTTGTTCACAGACTCAGGGTTTAAGATACAGGGAAGATGGGAAGATTACTCACTCATCCATTACTTTGTTCATTCATCCATTTGCCCATTCATACATCCTTATTTAATAATACCTCCATTGATTAAAAAAAGAACTTTAAGTGAATTATGCTCATGCACAAGCATCATGAGTTTTAAATAGAGCAACTAGCTTGAGATGGGTGAGGTTCACAGGGGGCTCAATTTCAGATGGGAGCTGATCTCGAAGAAACAACCACATTTAAGGCTGTGGAGTTGGACCCAGGTTTGGATCCCCGCTCTGCCATTTATTCTCTGTGGGACCTTGGGTTTTGCCCAACATTTCAATTTTCATCAGCAAAATTGGGTGGTGGTCAGGGGAATCCCTTTTTGTTGTTGTGGAAATTAAGTAAAGTAAAACTTGTAAGAGGTTGGGAATTAGAAAATATTTAATAAATGTCAGCTAAACCCAGTTATATGTACATGAATGAGTAGAATTGAGCTGTTGTGGTGATAGTCAGCCATTCTTTTGAAACATCCATACCACAGTCAGAAAATAAATTGACTTAGAACTCACTAAATAGTAGCTCTAATAATAACAAGAAAATAATAGCAACTAGAATCTATTGAACACTCACTGTGCACTATGCTAACCATTTCAATAGATTATGTCATCTATGTTCCTCAGCCAGTAGTAACTAATGAGGATGAAATTTTAATTTCAATTACTCTAGTTATCCATTCTCATAGTCTTACATTAGAAAAGTGGCAAGTGTGCACAGGTATGAATAATTCATTAGTCCATTAGTTATTCATATCTACAATTCTTTTGAGTTCTTCTACTTAAAAAACAATGGCTTAGATGACATTTTCACATCATGAAAATGTTTTCCAAAAACTGGACTTTAGACTCCAAGGCAGCACAGCCTTATTTTTACCATTTGCCCTTTGGAATAGGAACTGACTTCAGCATTGCCCTCAGATAGCAATCTCACTGTCAAGTGATCTAATTACTAATTAGGTCTTATTTCCACTCATTTAATGAAGCTTCAGTCAAAGAAAGACATGGATGAAGAGGAAGAGGAGAAAGGAGAGAAGGAGGGAAGGAAGGAAGGAAGGAAGGAAGGAAGGAAGGAAGGAAGGAAGGAAGGAAGGAAGGAAGGAGGGATGGAGGAAGGAAGGAGATAAGGAAGGGAGGGAGGAAGGAAGGAAATAAGGAAGGAAGGGAGGAAGGAAGGGGGAGATGGAGGGAGGAAGGAAGGAAAGGAGGAAGGAAGGGAGGGATGGAGGGAGGAAGGAAGGAAGGAAAGAAGGAAGGAAAGAAAAAAGGAAGGAAAATAACAAACACCAAAAGCACCAAACCATGCTTTGAATATGTTCGGCCCTGTAAGTCACAGATGGGGGTGCTTTTCAACCTTAAATAAGGATGTAGTTAATAAAATGTCCCTTCCTCCTCTCTGGTTTAGCCAGATAAAATGATATAAGCCAATACAAGAAACAGTTTCAAACGGGTGCTTGATGGAAAACAAGATAAACTTTTGGCCATGGCTCTTATAAATTGCTGGAGCTCTTGATGCTATATTTAGTCTTCTGAATTCAAGTCCACATCATAAATACAATAACCTAGAGGAGTCTGATGTAACTGATATACAAGCTACTGAATATCCTTGAGGGATATAAGTCACATATCAACAACAGCTATTCTGGTTTTTCTGCGTCATTCCCTCTTCAGGGAAAATTTTAAATTATCTGTGGGTAGGGAGTTCAGCCCACTAAAACTAAAATCTGCAATTTTCATAAAATAGATTCTGTGCAACTAAAGTAAAAGAGCATAGGAATCTCATTCTCCTTTTTGAGTATTTTTCTCTCTATTTTTTCCCCTTAATATTATAACCATTCATCCCAGAATAGACTCACTATATGCTTAATATATACTCATAACTTCAGAAAATAGTCAGCAATTGTTGTCATGTATCACATCTTTCTGCTAAATGCTAGGGATAAAACAATGACCAACACTGAGCACTTGGTCTCTAGGAACTTATAATCTAGAGAGGAATACTGATAAGTAGGCAAGCAGTATGAAAGTGCTAAGACAGGAAAGTACTAGAGAGATGGGAAGTACCAAGCCTGAGTATATCTCTATTGAGTCAGGGTAAGCAGGTATCAGAGAAGGATTCCTAAGGTTGACATAAGAATAATTTAATACCAATCATTTATTTAAATTATTTAATAAGCCCCTTATCTGTAAAAGAATTATCATAGACCCTGAAAATATAGTAATGAGTAAGACAAAAATA